TAGTTGGAAAATGTTGCTTTGGTTATAGAAATGCCAGAGATCAGATCATAGAATTTTGCAACAACAACAAATTATCATGGAATTTTTTTTTCACCAACATAAACTGTGACTATACATGTGGATGTCACCAGATGGAATGAACAGGAATGAAATCGACTACATCTGTGGAAAGAGAGGATGGAAAAGCTCACTATCTTCAGTCAGAATAAGGCCAGGGTCTGACTGTGGAACAGACCATCAGTTGCTCATATGCAAGTTGAAGTTGAAGCTGAAGAAAAATAAAACAAGTCCATGAACTCCAAAGTACGACCTTGAGTATATCCCACCTGAATTTAAAGACCATCTCAAGAATATATTTGATGCATTAGTGCATGAACACTAATGAACAGATAAGTTGTGGGATGACATCAAGGACATCTTACATGAAGAAAGCAATAGGTCATTAAAAAGACAGGAAAGAAAGAAAAGATAAAAATGGATGTCAGAAGAGACTCTGAAACTTGCTCTTGAACATCAAGCAGCTAAAGCAAATGTAAGAAATGGTGAAGTAAAAGATCTGAACAGAAGATTTCAAAGGGTGGCTCAAGAAGTATTATAGTGAAATGTGCAAATGTCTGGAGTTAGAAAACCAAAAGGGAAGAACAAGCTTGGCATTTCTCAAGGTGAAAGAACTGAAGAAAAATTCAAGCCTCAAGTTGCAACATTGAAGGATTCTATAGGCAAAATTTTGAATGATGCAGAGAACATCAAAAGAAGATGAAAGGAATATGCAGAATCACTGTGCCAAAAAGAATTAGTTGATGTTCATCCATTCAGGAGGTATCACATGATCAAGAACCGATGGTATTGAAGGAAGAAGTCCAAGCTGCACTGAAGGTATGGGCAAAAATAAGCCTCCAGGAATCGATGGAATAGCAATTGAGATGTTTCAACAAATGGATGCAACACTAGAAGTGCTCACTTTTCTATGCCAAGAAATTTGGAAGACAGCTACCTGGACAACCAACTAGAAGAGATCATTCCCTTACAGCTCCTTAAAACCCTTTCAAGACACTATTATTTTCTGCTTGAATTCTTTATTGATACCACGTGTATTTATTAATGGAAGCATGCTGAATCATTGAGTGTGTCCAAATTTTTTGTATGTAGTATGGATTTTTTTCCTTGTCTTCTCCCACAAGACTACCCTTAGAGATTAGTGGGACAACACATTGTCCCACTAATTTGAACCCCAGAGTTCAGGTCCACATAAAATTTTTCTATTTTCCTACCAAAAATGCACATACCTCATTCAATACCCTGTAAAAACGATAATCTGCAGTACACACCCATTTTTTTTGTTTCAAACAGTCATAAAGCCCCCTGCCACATGCACTGTGATTGGAAAAGCAGCTTCCCAAAAAGCCTGAGAGCCAGAAAAAGTGGGTGTGCAACCGTAAATCCCACAGATCTGGAAAAAACAAACAAACAAACAAAAACCCATAACCAAACTCATTGCCGTAGAGTCGATTCCTACTCATAGCAACCCTATAGGACAGAGTAGAACTGCCCCATAAGGTTTCTGGGGAGCAGCTGGTGGATTCGAACTGCTGACCTTTTGATTAGCAGCCGAACGCTGAACCACTGGGCCCCACAGATCCTGAAAGGGTTTTTAAAAAAGTGCAGGTCACAGACTCCAGACAGGAGGAACAGCTGCTGTGGGCCTTTCTTAGGGGTGACCCTGAGGGGACTTCAGGTCACAGACACACAGCAGGTTTCCTGGATGCACAAGAGATAAAGGTGCCCCTCAGGCACATTCTTCTAGGGCCAGAACTGGCCCCGTATCACCCACCTGTTGTTCTTCATCCTTAACAATATGGCCAAACCTGAGATAAACAGGCAGGAAATATACTCCCCTCCTAGTGAGAGGAACTTCAAGGTCACAGGCCAAGGGCATTCTAATATAATTCTAATAGTGATTCTAATATAGGAAGGGCAGGGACAGTTAAGAAGAGTGATCCAACATATGACATTTAGCACCATTTATTAGAAGTAGGAAGAGCCCTGGTGGTGCAGTGGTTACAAATTCAGCCGCTAACCAAAAGATTGGCAGTTTGAATACACTAGCCAGCTCCTTGGAAACCCTATGGGGCAGTTCTACTCTGTCCTATAGGGTCGCTATGAGTCGGAATCGACTCCATGGCAACTGATTTTTTTTTTTTTTTAATTAGAAGCAGGAGAGTCCTATTCCATGAATCCTTGTATTTAAAATAAGTACTTGTGGAATGACTCTCAAATTCTTTCATCTTGAGATTTCACATGTGTGTAGGTGTCCACACACACCCCTCAGAGAGGGCACAGGATCATGGGAAAGCCCAGCAGGTATTAGGAGCAAAGCAAATGAACCATGTGACGTCCCTGGGAGCAGTCAGCAGCTGCATATAAGAGGGTCCCCAGGGTCAGGCTGCCGGTGTCCTAGCCCAACAACAATCCGGCACCAGGGAGAGAAATTTGAAGTCTATGCCACAAATGAGTGATGTTGAAGATGACCATGACGTGGAAGGAGAACCTGCAGTTCAAACTAAAAAGGCTGTGCCTACAGAATTAAAAATAAATCCACACCAAAGGGGAAAAAAAAAAAAAAGCTCAGGTTGTCATCACTGAGTCTTGACTACCTCTGGAAGCAGCTGGCCCTTCAGTTTTTTCAAATTTTCCTCACTTTCTAGCTATAGTTTTCTGGGATCCAGTGGATCCAGTGGTAGTGTCAAGTTTCCAGAATCATCCTGTTGCAAACCAACTTGATCACAGATGGAAGCTGAAGAGCAGGAAAAAGTAATTATGATAATGCGCGATGGTGTGACGAGGGGAAATTTGGTGTGGTGGATTAGAAATTAAAAGCTATTATTTCTAGTCTAAGAATAGAGCCAGACTATTAAAGAAAAACCCTCCGAGTTAAATACTGAGAGAAGTCACTTTGCTTCTCTTTGTATAGTCCCTGAAATGGCATAAGTTATGTCCCGCTTGGTGAGATTGTATTGAGGATCAAATGAGAGCCATTACCTATTTAGTTCATGCTGCCTTCCAGCACGCTCTAAGTGCTTCACCTGGACCAGCTTGTTTAACCTTCATAATAATCCCCCAAACACCATGAGGAGTAATTCTTGTTATTTTCACCTCAGTTAAAGACAAGGGAATAGTGGCAGAGAGAGATGAAGTAACTTGCCCAGCGTCACAAAGGCAATAAAGGGCATAGGCAGAGCTGGCTACATAATTTGCAGAGCCTAGTGCTACATGAAGGAGCCCTGGCGGCGCAGTGGCTAAGAGCTCTGCTAACCAAAAAGTGGCAGTTGGAACTCACCAGCCATTTTGTGGGACAAAGATGTGGCAGTCTGCTTCCGTAAAGATTTCAGCCTTGGAAACCCTGTGGGGCAGTTCTATTCTGTCCTATAAGGTCCTTATGAATCGGAAACGGCTCCATGGCAAAGGGTTTAGTGCTACATAAACTGGGCAGCTAACTGAAAGGTTGGCATTTTGAACCCACCCAGCAGCTCCGAGGAAGAAAGATCTGGCAACCTGCCTCCGTAAAGATTATACCCTAGAAAACTCTATGAGGCAGTTCTACTCTGTCACATGGGGATGCTATGAATCGAAAATCGCTACAACAGCAGTGCTACATAATTTGCAGAGCCTAGCGCAAAATGAAAATACGGGGCCTGACAGGGGGGTAGGGAAGTCAATCTTCCCTCCCCATAGAGGATAGACGGCCAAAAAAGGGATTTTAACCTTTGCTCCAGGTCACATTCATCTGAATGGGAGTGGGAGAAAGGCTCGCACCTGTCGCCAAACTGCTGCCTGCCTGATTAGGGACGGCTTTGCCCTACCCTGAGACACTGGAGGGGGAGCTGTTGTGCAGCACCCTCATCTCCCAGAGCCCGTGCCCAGGCACTTACTGGAGGTGGATGCGATCATTGTAGATAGAAAACGTCCCTGCTCCACCCTCCGCACAATGAGACCCGGTTGCTGTCTTGATCAGAAGGCCAATGAAATGATGGGGCGAGGGGGCGGCTGGGAAAGGCTGGGGTGCGACAGGCGGGGATAGGACAGCTAAGACGTATCTAGGGGAGGCCAGGAGGCAGTGGGAGTTGGGGCTTCCCATGAGTGAGTCGAGGCTCCAAGCCCTTTGTGCATGCTCCGTTGTCTCATCAAACTTCACTTACAGAATACAAATTCTTTTTGTGTGGAATTATTAAGAATTTCAAGACAGCAACCGAGAACATTAAACTCCAAGTCCGAATTAGCGCAGTTCCCTGTGTGACTGCACTAGCTCATACCCAAGAAGTCAGCCCTGGCCAGAGGCCTCCCGCTCTTTACCCACGCTAACATACTGACTCTTAAAGAAGATCATGGAAATGAAAAGTATTTGAAAAGGGAGAAAGTAAACATTAGCTCACACTGTAAAATTTTGGTCTGCCTTTTATGACCAAGCACTCCAACCTATGTTTTAGTGCCTGTTGGACGCTTCAATTTGTCTCATTTTTTTGTCTACATTTAAAGTAATAAACCTTGAACGTCACTGATGTGGATCCAGAACTCAAGTGATACGACGAGGTTCAATACATCACACTTTTGGGCGTTTGATACCAAAGCAACAACCAAAGGGAAGAGAACAACTGCCGCGAACCACTGCCCGCAGCAATTTAGTGACCGCCGGACCATTGGAGGAGGGCAACATCCCCGCTATCCAATCGCCGGGAAGTCCAGAGACTACGCTGTCTGGATTGGTCAGAGGAAACTGATTCAAGAAGGGAATTGGCGTGGGGCTCAGCTGGCAGCGCCTTCTGGCCAATCAGAGAATGCATGGGGGCGGGCCTTGCCTCAGGAGACGTACACTACCTCGGAGGGAGGGGGCGTGGCCTCGGGACTCTACCTCCAGGCTGTGCGAGCGGGCGCGCGGAGTGGGTGGGGCCCGCGGGCCGGGGCGGGGCGAGAGGTGTCAGCGGCGGAGCCGGATGCGGGCGGCGTCGCTGCCGCCTCGGCCCTGAGGATGGGCGGAGCCCCAGCCGCTGGTGCTGGTGGCTGCCGCCGCTGCCGGATCCCGAGCGTAGCTTCTGCTCCCGCGGGTCGCTGCTTCCCAGGGCGGCGGTATGCTGGGGAAAGGAGTCGTTGGCGGTGGCGGCGGCACCAAGGCGCCCAAGCCCTCCTTCGTGTCGTACGTGCGCCCCGAGGTGAGGGAGCTGGAGGGGCCGGGGCTGAGGAGCGCTGGGAGCCCCTTCCCCGACGCCGGAGGGCCGTGGGGCGCTTCCTGCCGGCGTTCGGGAGTGGAGCCGGGCGGGTGAGAACCGCAGGGGCGCGCCGGGGCCTCCCCGTGGGCCAGGGTGGGGACCCCCGACGCGGGCAGGCAGGTGCCCGAGCGCTAGCCCCTGCTCGCTGACGACTGGGTGAAGGGGCCGGAGCTGGGGAAGGTGCTGCGGCCTGGGACGCCCTCGGCCACTGTGGAGAGGAACTGGAATCTGGGCTCCGCTAGAAGGAGGAGGGCTGGGTGGTCCGAACTCCGGGGTGGGCCTGCCCAGAGCTCGGCACTAGGTGGGTCTGCCCTCTCCTTGAAATTCCTCAGTTGACTCTTTAGTGCCCGCCTATCTCGCTGCCTGCTTCTAAGAGTGCTATTTGATGCCGCCGGCGGGACACCACACCGACTCCCACCGCCCATCAGCACTGTAGGGAGAACCGGTGGGTTTGCCGTCGCCCGGGCTAGGCTCTGCTGCCCCCTTTGATATCCTCTGTCGCTTCTTTCCCCATTTATTTCACCCTCTCACCATCGCCCATTCTCCCCTTCTTCCTTGTCCTTCAAATAGAGTTTCCTCCTGGAATGTTACTGCCAAGAAGTAAATTCATTCATTCAGAACATATATTTTGAGCTCCCACTCTGTGTCAGGCAGTGTTCTAAGCACTTGGGGTATACATCAGTGAACAAAGCAAAGATCTCTGCTCTCTTGGCCCTTAGTCGGGGGGGGGGGGGTAAATTATATGGTATATTAGAAGGCGATAGGTACCATGGAAAAAGAAAAGTCATCTTTTTCCTCAAGGAAGAGGTAACATTTGAGCAAAGGCTTGAAGGATGTGAGGAATCTGAGGGAAGAGTAGTCCAGGTAGAGGGAACAGCCAGTGTGAAGGCTGTAGATCACGGGAGTGTCTGCATTGTTGGAGGAGCATCTAGGAGGCCAGCCTGGTGGAAGCGCAGTGGTCGAGGAAGAGAGTCTTAGAGGAGGTCAGGCCTTGTAGGCCTTCTTGAGCTAAGCTCCTAACCCAGATGCCTAATTAGATGCGTTCTCATTTTGGATTTGTGAAGGTTTTTTCTGCTTCTCTTTTCAGCACTTTAAGAAGTAATGTGCAGAAGCACTACCAAATTCGTTGCCTCTGGTTATCTTCCCATCTTAGTAAAGCAGAGGCGGAAGGCTACTGGTGAGAGGCCTTGATCAGGGACTGCTTCTGTAAGACTGCTTGGGGCCTGACTCCTTTGCATATGTATCTTTAAATTTAAGATGTATTCTCTAGTGGAGAGTACCCTTGAAATGACTCTTATTTTTAGGTCCTAATTTTAAAATAAAAACCACTTCCTCTGTTAGTTAACACTTGATAAGGAGTCTGGGTCATCTTAAATTTTTCTGCAGGCTTCCCATGTAGTATGATGTGTTAAGTAATGTGTTCAGTTTCTCTTTGTGTCTTTTGTGATGGAGCACTTGGTTGAAGTGCAACTGATCTTTAAACTTTTCTCTTCAGTGAGATTAAACTGCAAGTGGAAAGTCTTCTGAAATGTGGCCAGAGTTCAAGAATGTTCAGATTCTTCATCCACCAAGCGTGCATGTTGTGATTAGACGTGTTTTGTCTCTTTGCCCACGGTGCCTGATGTATTTCCTTTGAGGCGTAATAAGGGAAGGGGAGTGGTTCAGCCCAAGAATAAGCCTGAAGTGGTCACTTTTTCAGATCCTTGTAGTTGGCAGTTTTGTTTTCTTGCATTAAAATAATGCTGCGTAGACGCTATTCTTCTTTGCTGTAATCCGTCTCTAAAAATATTTTATAAAACTATAAAGATATGATCTAAATTGTGGATGTTTTTTCAAAGATAAGGATTGGAGAGGGTAAGAAAGCAAATTATTTTTAAGTGTATAGTTTTTGCCAGCAAGAAGGTTGTATCTTTTTTTCTTTATCCCATTTTTGGAAATGCTTGTGCATAGCATTGAGATATAGCTTGTGTGCCTGTGAGCACTGGGTCTGGTAACCTTCTTCTGTTGGCTCACTCAGTTGGAGGAGTCCTTCAAACTTTCCTGAAGACTGTCATTCTTCCGTCTCTCCTTTCCCTCAGATCACCTTTATCTCTACTGCCTTTGGAATATGTCTTGCTATCACTTCTATCTTTGCATGCATTTTTCGTTTGTTAGCTGGGAAATCACACAGCTTCTCAGGTAGTGTTTTGCTGGGTAGATTCTCTGAGCTGCAAGAACAACCCTTTTGCCTTATGTTCTTGGTGATGAACTTGGATGTGGCTCATCAGATCTCAGGAGGCTCAACAGCATCTGCCTTCAGTATGCCAAAGAGGCTATCAAAAGTCAGCACTTTGTTTTAAAAACAGAAGTGCTAAACTGAATAAAGTATTTGAAAGTGATGCTTTTAAACATGATGGGTTTACTTTTTTCCCTTGTAATCAGAAAGGATTGGCATGGGGCAGCTGTAAATGAGGGGTGACTATTAATTCCAACTTTTAAAAGTGGACCTTTGCCAGAGTAACTTGGACTCTTCTGTCATTGCTTCTCCTAAATCAGCAAATGTGAATGTTAAAATCCTGAACCGTAATTTAGACAGTTTGGTCATGTTTTGTAAACTCTACTTGAGAATTACAAACTGGAAAGGCAGGTAAGTGGGAAGCTGATGGCTCAGGGAGCTGAAAACACGAAGGAGAGATCTGAAGCCATCTGGGTCGTACCTGATGGCCAGTACCTAAAAATAGCTGGCGTCCCCAGCCCAGCTTAGCCCCAGGCTCAGGGTGCGAAGGATGTGGATGCCTCTGGGCTGCGAACTGCTGGGCGCTGAGGTCTGTTTCAAGGAGACGTTTAGTTATGGTTTGGGTAACAAATCCATCTTTCTTGCTAAATAAAACAACTGTGAATTATTCTCATTTCAGAAGTTGTAAGGTTCATTGTAGAAAAATAAGAAAAATACAGATATGCAAAAAAATTTTTTAAAGAAATATTACAAACTTGTTAACAACTTGGAAGGTATCCTATCAAATACATACATAGGCATATATATATTTTTTTAACCAAAATGGGATTAATATTGCTGATCATATTATTTTGCAATCTGCCTTTTTCACCAAAAATATATATTGTAAGCATCTTTCCACGTGATTGTTAACCTACAGCGTTATTTTAAATTAGACCTCTGTTCCTTTACAGAAGCACAGTGTGATGGGAGAGGTTAGGTAGCACAAAGAGCCAAAGAAAGTAGTGTGATTTTTAAGTGGTTCTCTACTTAGTCATCTTCTCTGGTACTGAACGACAGTTCTGATTCTTCAAGTCTGTCAAGTTTCCTGCCAGACTTGAATATGAACTGTAAGCACTGGTTTGATAATTTATAGTGATTTTCTATTTCTAATTTATAGTGATTTCTATGACTGTTCCCTGAACTTGTAAATAAAGGACCATTAAGTGGTCCTAAGAGAAGGTTCTGATTTAATAAGTTCTCATTTCATTATGATAAGGAAGTTGAATAAAAGCTTCTGGGGGCTCTTGTGTTGTTCTTTGAAACTAAAGACCAGGAAAAATTTAGCGTTTGGAGTGCCTTACAGGTAGTCCCCGACTTATGATGGGGTCCCGTTCCAAAGACTCTGTAGTGTCGGTTCTGACATAACTCGAATACCCTATTATTATTGCCTTTTATTATTAGTATCTTTATAAATCCCGTCTTTATTTGTCTTTGGGTGTTGGAAACATTACATATAAAATACAGATGTGTTTTAACATTATATGTAGTACATATTACTAATGATAAGATATATTAAAAAACAAAAACAAAACCTGACAGTTGTTAAGTGTAGTTTATCATAACTCAAATACGTCGTAAGTCGGGGACTACCTGTACTTGCCCATTTTTGTGTATTCCAAATGTGGTTAAAATATTTTCTTTTAATATGAATTTTATTTTTAAAAAATATTTTCTAATAGAGTTTAGTTCAATGTTTGACTTGAATGTATTGTAATAGCTGTCAATTACTTATTTGTGGATTTTTAGATTTGAAAGACAGTTGAAAGATAATCTACTCTGCCACCTGTTCTGTTTTTGTATTATATAGATGTGGAAACTGAGGCCCTCTAAGGTTAATATCCTGCCCAGGGCACAGAGTTATTGCAGAACAGTATAAACTGTCTCCCAGGGGCCACCAGTGTGAGTGGCTAAGCCATGCCTACAGAAGCTCAGAAAGGTTTTATGTTGACTTGGGAAGAAAAGGCAAGCAGAGAGATGAAGATTGAGAAGGGTCAAAGAATACATTCTTAAGGGCTGATTAATGTGGTTTTTCTTTTTTTCCTTTTCACTTTTCCCTCAGAGAAAAGAGTGCATTTGGTTACTTAGTTCTCATTTAAGGCCATTTCTTTTGGTAAGAAGGAACTTATACACCCAGAATCATATGTCAGAGAGCCAGAGATATAACTCTGGTTGTATAAATAATCAAAAAATTAATATGAGGCATTTCTGTGTGTCAGGAATTATGCTATAATTATCTTATTTCATCCTTTCAACAGTCTTATGAGGTAGATACTATTATTTCCTCCCTTTTTTTGGTTTTAGGTGTGGAAACTGAGACTCAGAGAAGTTAAGTACCTTGTTCAGGGTCACAGTTAGCAAGGGTTGATGCCCGGATTTAAACTAAGACAGTTTGACTCCAGGATCTCTTCCCTTACTCTAATAGTTATGAACGCAAAGATTATTATTAGTGAAACATTCTTACAGGAATGGTTGGTGTTTCCACACTAGAGTGCTTTTCCATTTGTGTTTTCTAGTAGCATGTTCTCTCAGCTTTTGCTAGGTTATCACCCAAGTGACTGGTGAGTGGATACAGGGATCTCTTAGATGTTTTAGTCTCTAGAGGCAGTGCTTTCCAAAGATGCCGTTACTCATTCAATAGATATTTACTCAGCACCTGCTATGTAGCAGGCGGTATTCTAGGTGTTGG